AAGTATTGAAATAGGATTTGGAGAGCAGAGGATATTCCCCATAGAGTACTACAGCTTTGTGAAAGGTCAAAATTCAGAATGTCTTTAATCCACAATATTTCTTAAACATATTTTGTGTGACTAATACATCCAGGCAAAATTACTTTCAGTAATTAAAAACACATATTTCTGGATTCTTGTAAATCAGAATAGCAAACAATGGCAGGTGTTAAATTTAGGCTGCTCATACTCCATACAGGATAAAGAAAAATGGAAAAATTCATACCACTGCTTGTGGGAGAAAAATGCTTAAATGTGTCAGACATACATTTCTTTTCCTAGAATCAACAGCTCTTCACCATGTCCAAGCACAATGACAGATACAGACACTTACCATGATGAAGAGAACAGATTCCATAGCTTTCTTTACATTTTTGCTCTCCAGACTCTTATTCTAAGCTTTGAAAGAGGGAATATGCTTCTAGTCAAAATCACATAATTGAAAAATACATGTTATCACAGGAATAGCATTTTGTGAGATCATTTGTATAAAAAGACAAAGATTCTACTTGTAGTTTCATTTTAAAACCTTATGAAAAGATAAAGTAAGGAAGATTGGAGAGCATGTGTTTGCACATGAAAAGAATAAAAGACCTTTTAAAAATCCAGATGAAGGAGTAATGAGTATATCCAATAGCTTTCAAAGAAAGGATTCTGATGAGATTTAACTGCATAGCTAAAGGACTTCTAACAAAGTTAAAAGTTGACAAATGCAAAGCAATGCAGATGTGATGGTAAAAAACCTAAGTTATTTTTCCTAAATCAAGCATATAAAAGCTTAATATAGGAAACTTAAAAGCACTGCAATATCCTGGGCAGCTCATTATGTCTGCCGAATGAGCAGAAATTGAAAAAAAAAAAAAAAGACAGAACACTAAGAAGCAAAATGCGACTTTCATTGTTTGACAAATAAGTCTGAAAGTATGAAAATTCCATTACTGAAATTAATACTGCAGCTTCATGTAGAATCTTTAGCTATGTTATTTATGAAATTATATCACAGGATTAGAAGAGGGCCAAAATATTCAGACTGAAGGATTTCAAGACAAGAACTTTGTGGTTAGGACTGACTAGCTCAGCTACAGATATCAGTATTATAGACCCTCTAAGCTTATGTACAATGAAAACAATGGTCAATGTAATACCACTGCAATTCTTTAACCTCTTCTGATATCATAAGAGTTTAATAATTTGGATGGACAAGAAGAAATACAAATTGTGATCTTAACTCAGAGCAAGTGGTGGTCAGTTCTCAGCACTGGTACGCCACCAGGTCAGATCATTAGCGGAAAAAGGTTGTCTACAGCTAAGTGATACCCATCTATTAAAATCTGCTGAGATGTCAGCCAACCAGCCAATCGTTTATACATTGCAGTACATTTTATGGACTAAGACATTTGGAGGCAAGCTGCTTTCCTCTATAAGACACAGAGCCTTTCAAAATCATATCTACGGCTGTTTTAAATAAGAATTATGTTTGATATTATAGAGGAAGCTACACAGAGTAAACTTACAGGTAAAATTCCAGCAAGTAAGGGTTGGACCTAACTGAATTGCTTAGTGAAATAAGGATTCTACAGAAAGACATGAGATTACTTTACCTTATGTGCTTGTGGCTCACACTGAGCGGGTTTTGGGTTTGAATATACCAAGCAGTCAAGGCAACTATTACCAGTAACAGAATTAGAACTATTAAGAACAGTATAGCTTAAAAAAAGTAAAGCAGATGCAGTTCTGGTTTGATAAGCACAAGAAAGGAAGATGTGTAACTATGTGGATGCTTACCACATGACAGTTTAGAATCTTTTTACAACTGGCAGTCCAGCAGGTTGCTATGGCTCCTTCAGGAAGTCCTAATTTAGACAAACAGCTGTGCTAGGGTTTATTCCAATTCTAAACACCCTAGACAACACACACTAATGATCAGGCTTTTTTATGGAATTAGATATCTTCCATAAAGATGAGAAAAGAATATGTACGTGCATATGTGCTAGAACACATGAGCATATGCAGCACTGAAGTTATACACTGATACAGATGCTATCAAGTAAAATTTGGAAACAGATTCCATAAGAGTGCACTACAGGAAACAGCAAAAAAGCTGGCAAAAGTATGTAGAGAAAAATACAAAAGGGCTTTCATATTCCATCACCTATTATGCACATTAATCTAACTTAAAGCACTGCTCAAAATGTACAGTATATTTGTAAATATTAAATGCTAAATTGTATATACTAAGTAATGATGTGGTTGTCTGTCATTTCAGAAAACTGTGAACACAGAAATTCAGGGTGTAAGCACACTTGTCCTTCAACGCTGTAAAAAGCTCTCCAAGAGTATCGGCTTGTACATCTGCAGACTGCCACACTAGGATGCCAGAAAGGAGTTTAACTAGTGGTTGCATAGAGCCTGCCCTTAAATCCCAGTTAAATCTAGAAAATGCATGTTAATTAGACACAGAAGATAAAACTTTCACTGCCTTTCCTTCTGTCAGCTAGAATAAAGTTAATAACTTATTTCACAGCCTTTTAGAATCATGTATGCTTTTTTTTCTAGCCATCTACTTCATTTCCTGAAACACTTGGTGTTCTTCATTAAAAAATTCCAAGGGTCCTGGAAAGAGCATTCTGTGGCTTCACCCTGTCAGGCTCCAGTGACCTAAAAAGCATTGCTACATAAAAACATGCACTATTATTGTCAACAAAATTCTCATTTAGCATGTATGCTGATCTTAGTTACTTTTAACGGTAAAACTTCCAAAAAGAAAAGGATTGATATGACAAGAAAGGAAGGTCAGAGAGAGTTTAAATACACCAGAATAGCAGACAGACTTAAAATATGGCATTTATAGAAGAGATACTGTAGTTCAGCAGCATGAAGTATTTCTTACTGAATAATTCAAGAGAGTCTGGTTCAGAACCCTCACATAAGTGCTAATTAGCCACAGCAACATACTTACTTTCTACAAAAACATAAAATAAGATCTAATTAACGACCATTTCCAGTGGCAAAAGAATAAGTCATCTAATTTATCTCTGAAAAAATACTCTAGAAGAGAAACAAAATGAAAGGGGAGCTTTAAAAGAAAAAAAGCATTTCAAAGGCTAAGTTCCTGCAGGCATTTCAGAGCCTAAGGCATACTGCTCTGGGTAGCCTCTGGAACTCGTCATTGCAAGAGTGAGATGATTACACCTCTTTAGGAGAAATTTCTTCTGTGCCAGTAAATACAGAATATAAGGTGTACATTTCCTAAACTGAGGTAGGCATAGATATGGACCGAGAACGCAGCACACCAGATCCAATATATTATTTTTTGAAATAAAAAAGGGACAAACTGAACCTGCACAATTCTTTGAAACTGAATTGAGAAACCCCTCCAGCAGCTGATTACACAGTACTCTGCTGTAACATGTTTTTCACAGGTTAGTACATTACATTATTTCACAACTGGAAAGACAGGGGACATGAGAGCTATTTATAGAACTTAGAAAATTTGATAACACAGACTAGAAGGTCACTAAATCATAGATAAATGGAGAAAGGTTTCTCAATGGGAGTTAGTGTGCTCAGTAAAACTGCCTTCCAATGTTATCAGCCATATTATCTACAATACTCATTTGATTCAAATTACAAATCCAGCAGTAATATAACAAATGAACCCTACCTAATAAGTCACAAGATTTCAACTGAATGCTTCCATTAAACATACCTATACAATCTATCTCTAAATTAAAGGGCACCTGACTCATGCATTTTATTGTTCTAAATACTGCGGGCACACCAGCAGAGTATTTTCATAACAACACTAAAACTGTTCTATTAACTTGCCTTCTGTGCATGTGTTAAGTGATTAATAGTACTGAACAAGGATGCAGAAGGACAGATGTTTAATTGGCAGTAAGAACACAAGAGTGAATTCTCAGTTGTCAAGTTTCTCAGGCAGAAGTTCAAGAGAAATATGTACCCATAGTTAAAGCTGAGTCTCATTACTGAGTTTTAAATGCCTCTGTAAGACCTCCTTGATCAGTGAAATATTGAAGCTTATTTATTCTTGTCTCAGAACCTTCGTTTACTTCTGATTTAGGTACACTGGAATGCAAAGACAGATTTTTATAAGAAGGTAGTCTCTATTAAAAATCAGCAAGTCATGAGGATGATTTGCATTTGAGAAAGACATTGTGTGTGGACTCAGCTGAAACTAAGATGTGAGCTCCTCCCCGCAACATTTCTCGGCAACAACACAACACCATAATCATGCCAAACTAGTCTGCTTGCAAGTATACTTTTCCTTTAAAGAGACATTTGCCTTATAATTTTCAGTGACTCATTAAACTTTTTAAAAAATTCATTTCAGAGATGGAACTCTACTGCAATCTTCTTCCTATATTTGCTTCTTCATATTCATATTGACATAATCTTTCTACCTTCCTTAGCCTCTGCTTAAGTATTTGCATATTTTGTCATACAACAAAATCAAAATAAAGTGTCTATATCTCTATTCTTATCCATTCCCAGTATCTTCATTTCCAGTGTTTGAGACACAAACCTGGTGAAACCATAATTTGTACAGTGTTAGTGAAATTCTGTGAATCCTTATTTAGAAAGCTACTAGCTCCTAAGAACATAATGTTCTGCTGGATATCTCTTTCTCTGCACAGAGCTCAGCAGTCTTGCATTCAGTCATCTTCACTTCTAAAGTGGGATTCCATCTCTCAGAAAAGGCTGCTATGGCTATATGCCCTTTAGACATTGACATAGCAACTACACAATGTATAATTCAATGGGGCCACTGGGACAGAGTTTTCTTATGCCTAACTGAAAAACACTAACATAAAAGTCTCTGGAAAAGTTTAAGAAGATTTAGAATACAGTATTTATTTGTAAAACAGCTGAAAACTAAGTAATTTCTCATTAGTTCTTTCTTCTGCTGCTTAATAAGAGTGTTTTTCCTTTTAACGTACCAGGCATTATAATATTGGAAAAACCTAGTTTCCGTGTTATGGATACTCCGTTGGTAAACATGGATGTATACTCTCTCCTAATTTGTTCTATGTCTCCATGAAGCAACTGAAGAGAAACTGCCAGACCTGAAAATGAACAGAAAGACAAGAAAAAATAAGACATTCAAACAGATCACGGTCATCACTACTTCCTAAAAATTATATATACTTGCAAGAATATATGCATTCCTGAGAACTCACAAAATTCAGAGGAAATTCAATGATACCAAATCACATCCAGAAATCAACAAAGACTTGAAAACAACTACCCATCAAAATGCATTAGCAAATTATTATCGATGTGTAACTGAACTATGATGACACGTCAGATCAAAATTATCTCAATTGGGATGGACTGAGGTCCTAACTGGAAAAAGAATTAGAAAAATGTCAATTTAGAGAAATGTCAATCAGTAATATTTGCTACCATTTCAATTTTTCACATCCTTCAACACAATGCTGCCTTAATTGGTATGGAAGAAAAGGTGCAAACTCAATGGTCCCTGTTGTGGTTTAATTCCACCTGGCACCTAAGCACCACACAGCAACTTGTTCACTGCCCCCCTGCCATGTGATGGGGGGGAGAACTGGAAGAAAAAAGTAAGAAAACTCGTGGATTGAGATAAGAACAGTTTAATGACTCAAAAAAAAAATGCTACTAGTACTGCTACTATTAAATTGTAATGAAAAGGAAAACAATGGAAACAAAACCCATGAAAAACAAGTGATACAACTGCTCACCACCTGTCAAATGACACCCAGACAGTCCCCAAACAGCTATCGCACCCCTCCACCAACTCCCTTAGCTTGGTATGGAATATGGTATGGAATATCCCCTTTGGCCAGTTTGGGGTTGTGCCTCCTCCCCTCTTCTTGTAGAGAAGAAGCTGAGAGGGCAGGGGCAATGTGAGAAGCTGAAGAAGTCCTTGGCTTAATGTAAGCATTGCTTGGCAACAACTAAAACATCAGTGTGTTATCAACATTGCTCTCAGCACAAATCCAAAACATAGCCTCATACTAGCTACTATGAAGAAAATTAACTCTATCCTAGTCAAAACCATCACAACCCTTATCTATGGAAGAAACATGGAAGTCTCATTACAATGCATCATTTAAACTGATACAAAGTTTCACAGGTTATTAATCTAAAATCTGAAGAAACAAACTCTAATAAACCAATATAGCATAATCAATATTTTTTACTTAGGCACAGTGATTTCATAATGGCTGAAGGTACAACTTTCTTCAACATTCATCAGATTTAATCAAGCATGCTTTTCCTTATGTTTGCTAGAAGACATGCAAAATTCAAGTGTGTCCATATAATAATTTTCCAGTATTTATTCCTCTAGAACCAAGGAAGAACAACTTCGTCTACTATATCTGCAGTATACAAATAAATCGTAAGCAGTATACTTTATTACAGCTGAGATTAACAAAAACAACAGGCATGCCTTTTGTTTACATCAAATACAATCATTGAGGCAAGTGTCAGGATGATACAGCTTGTAAAGATTAATCTTCCCTGACCTTCAACATTACTACGGCATATCACGTGTCAACATACAGTTCAAGGAGAAGATAAGAGCAAACTCTTCGCATACACTGAACAACTGGAGATAAACAGAGTCATAATTAGCTTTAGATTAAACTTAAGTAAATTACATGTATGCTGAGACTGAACAAAAAGGTTCAGGGAAACTGAAAGGGAAAGAAACTTCCCTTACAACTATGCTACCATTTAACAGAATAAATTTACTTGAAATTTGATGGGTTTTAAATCAGGGCTTGAAAAACCTCTACTAAGCGCTGCCAGTCCAGGCTACTGACTAAAGAGAGCAGAGATCTTATTAGCTTGACAACTTTTATCTTTTTCCTCTTAGCTACACTTATATTTTATCATTTTGGCAACCCCAGAGAAGATGATAATCTGACCAGACTTCCATTCTCTTATGAAAAACAGCTCACCTATACATCTCCAACTGAGTACACAAACAAATCTTACAAGGAAAAACATTCAGTGAAGTCTATTCTATTTTAAGGACAGTATTTAATGTCATGGACCCTAATTATTTTGGTAATGAGAATTTGTTCTGTGGTTATCCAGTTACATTTTAGGAAGTAGTGACAATTATTATTGGTGTAGACAAGAAAACAAACCACACTGGGGCCAGCTGATGGTTACAGGATGTTGGTCAGACATAATACAGGCAAAATCCAAACTCTGTTAGAGCAGGTGAAAAGTTTTTCATTGCAAGATGGGAAGAGTTAGGCTGGGTAAAGCTCACTTACAAATATGGATATTTGGCCCACCTCCAATCTTGGGGTTTTTTTAAATATTTTAAGAAATTGGTATACATACATATGTATATTCATATCTTCATATGCCGTTATTGCATGGTTTCCTTGGAAACCTTAAAAAACCCCATTTGCCATTGCTCCAGATCACATCAACCACAACAGCGTTTATCAGACACTGTACACTGCCTGGTGTTGAGTAAAGCTATTGCGTTTTCTAAACAAAAGGTTGAAGACTTCAAACCCAATTAGTACTACTGTTTTCTTTGTGTGTAAATTTCTCAGATTTCCTTGAAGAATTTTATTCAGCTCAAAAATGCGCAAAGTGTCAAAAAACCTCATTTATGGCAAAACAGTTTTAACTTGAGAAATAAGCTGCCTGTCAAGGATTTGAAGTACTTGCTTATGCAAGGTGAGAAAGGTATTAGAGCTCGACATTTCACAGCATTCATTGTTAGAAAATTAAGAGTCATCTTTTTATATCCAAAAGCATCAAGAAAACCTCTGAGTGAACACACTACACATGGTGTAGTCATTTTACCTATAGTTTAAATATATCTTTGGAATATAAATCACATGCATCCCCCAACTCTTCAGAATAATGAAGAGCACTGGATTAAAGATAGCAAAGTTACTTTAAAATGTTATACAGTGTAAACACTCCATTACAATCAGAAAGAGTGAAACTAAACCGGAATGGAAACAGAGCAAAGATGCACAGGGAAGGAAGTCTGAAGAACCTCTGAAAACCAAGGTTTCAAGCTAACAATCTTGCCTCTGAGGATCCAGATGAAAAGGGTACTGACAAGAAGGGAAGCAGAAGATCAGATAAACCTGGTTAAAATGCTAAAGTTCAGAGCATAAGGACTTCATATAACCACCGAATAGAAGGCAGTCCTCAGTTAAGTGTTCTGATTGCTCTCTCAAATCTCCACTAATTTTGCAAGGAAACTAGACCTCCCTGCATTAAGGACCTAAAATCAGAAGATGCACACTGTTACTGAGGTGTGATACCCAAGTTACAGAATAGGCTGCTTGAAGTCCCACTGATTTGTTACACTCAGGATCTTGTGATGGTCAGAGGGAACACACTGTATATGAAAAGCCAAGAACTTACTTTTAGTCCTAATGGAAGTTATAACAGTCTAATCAGAGTCATTATTAGTCCATTTACAATGATACTAACACCCTCCAAACAAAATACTGTTAAAATTACACACATATACACAACCTTTCCCATGTCTACCCCTTGGTCACCCTCCCACTAACCCTCTGGGGACTTAAAGGTCAATGGTTTCAACCTGGGAAGATGGTGTATGATGACAGTTATCAGCATCCCAAGTCATTTGCCATGAGGAATAGGATGTTGCCTGCTTCTTCCTCCTCTCTCCCTAGGCTCCTCTGGCAGTAATTTTTATGTTTGTTAATGTGCTTCATACCTTGTTATTTTTTCACTGATCTGCAAATCCACATTACATCTTTGTTCATCGCATATGATGTGTTTTATATATGCCACATATATGTTCTTTGTTCTCTTTGTTTCCCCTAAAACTGGTTTTATTGTGCTCTCAAGGTCACACTATCTGATGACCAGTATTTGGCCACTGGTGAGATGTTCATAGATCTGGGGCCTCTAGCATCATCCCATGCCGGTACTTTCAAGGCCTCAGTTGTGGTCACATGTCTTTACTCTTCTATGTTCCATTTTAGTCCAGGGTTATAGACAGCTAACTCTACAAAGAGTAACTACACATTATAAGTATCTGCTAAATACAAAACTTATATACCAAAGTAGGTTACACCACACAGTTGTAACAAAGCAAAGCAAGACCTAAAATAAAGTAGACACAATTTATTATTTTGTCATTAGATAAATGCATTTACAATTCAGAACAAATCTCCAGGAAGGCTAAGACAAATCCAGCCAAAGCCAGACAGATAATTAGGACTGTGTTGTCAGATAAACACAAAGCTTATGCCCAGTTAAAAGCCACAGCAATCCCATATTTACACGTCTATAAATATACAAAACACTTTCCAAAGAAACTAGACACCCATGATTGAGGAACCATGTATCTGAAATAAAAGTCATGGGGAAGAGGTACTTCTAAAAGATGGAATAATTCACATTTTAAAAGGGACTAAAGTTTGTCAAAAGTTTGTATTACAAATCAAGCTACCTATCAATTAAACTTAACTAACATAATTTAAAACATACTGATTGGTCACAGAGCAATTCAGATTTTCAGAAGATTGCACATTCAATGGAAGTGAAGAGGGACTCCCTCAGACACACTGCAAAACAAAGTGGAATCAAGAGGAACCGATTAGTTGAAAGACACCACCTTCCTCACCAAAAATGTCATCAGAATTTAGCATACCATAATGGTCAGAAAGCCACTGAACTCAATTTACAAGTGATCACAGCTATCTCAATGGAGAAGAAAGGAAACATTAATATCTTTTTTGTCATCTAACAAAAGTAATATCCTTTAGTTCTCATTTATTCCACTCTGATGATGTACGTCAACATCAGTTCTTTCTCATCTCATTTCATGTACTAGACAGTAAAACTATCAGCTCTAGAAAAAAAA